CAGATCTAGAACATGCCCCTCAATAAAAACATCGGAAGTAATCACACATTCGGAGCCGATTCGTTGATTGTTTGAGCCGCCCAGTCCCCCCCCCCCACTTTGAGGCGTCGCCACGCCATGATATGCCATGCTACGCGTTGATCTTCAGCACCTGGCATGCTACGACATCCGACTGTGCGAATAGAGGGGGTATTTACGCCATGGTATAGGATGGGAGGGAGGGGTAGACCGTCAGATATCACGCGATCACACCAGGCTTGCCCCCCTCCCCCTCCACCTCCCCCTCCGCTCCCGCTCCCGCTCCCGCTCCCGCTCCCGCTCCCGCTCCCGCTCCCGCTCCCCCTCCCCATCCCCCTCCCCCTCCCCCTTCACCTCCGCCTCCGCCTCAGCCTCCACCCCCGCCTCCCCCTTCCCCTCCTCCTCCTCCTCCTCCTCCTCCTCCTCCTCCTCCTCCTCCTGCCCCTCCTCTTATTCTGAATCGTATTACTATTACGAGTATTATCATTACTAGTAGAATTATTGTTATTATGATTATTATCATGATGATTCGTATTGTTCTTATGATGCGTAGTCTTATTAGTAGTAGTATCAGTATTCGTATTAGTAGCATTCGCATCACCATCCGTATCAGTATTATTAGTATTAGTAGCATTAGTATGACTACTATTAGTATCACTAGTACGATTCGTATGCTTATTAGTAGTACTACTATTATCTGCATTACTATTAGTAGTAAAAGTCATCTTCCTTTGTTTTGTTTTAATAATATTAGTCTTTTTCCGCCTCCTCCTCCTACACCTCCTCCTCCTCCTCCTCCTCCTCCTCCTCCTCCTGCTGTCCCTCCTCCCTCTTTTCCTCTTGTCCACCAACTCCCTCTAATCTACGTCCGTACTGGCCTGTTCCGTGTCCTCGCGCCGTTGCCCGCCCCCCCGCCCCCTTCCCCCCCCCCCCCACACACTCTCCTCGAAGGCGCTCCCCCACCCCCTGTGTAGTACCAGGACGTCCCATGCTGGTCACCGCCGCCTCAGCTCTGCCGGCTGCCTGCACCGCACAGGCCCAGGAGGAGGCGCAGTGGCACGGGCGCCCGTGCACTGGTGTCACTCCGCGGCACTGCAAGAGGCTCGTCCTCCTCCTCCTCCTCCTACTCCTCCCCCTCGCGCCTCCTTCTCTTCCTCGTCCTCCTACTCCTCCTCCTCCTCCTCCTCCTCATCCTCCTCCTCCCCCTCCTCCTCCTCCTCCTCCTCCTCCTCCCTCCTCCTTGCTGCTTAGCCCTCTCTTCCTCCCCGCCTCCTCCCCTCTCCTCCTCCTCCTCCTCCTCCTCGTCCCTCGCCTTCTCCTAAGTATCCTCCTCCTCCTCCTCCTCCTCCTACTCCTCCTCCTCGTCATCATCACCATCGTCATCATCGGCATCGTCATCATCATCATCATCATCATCATCATCATCATCATCATCATCATCATCATCATCATCATCATCATCATCATCATCATCATCATCATCAGCAGCATCAGCATCATCATCATCAACAGCATCAGCATCAGCATCAGCATCATCATCACCACCATCATCATCATCATCATCATCATCACCAGCATCAGCATCAGCATCAGCATCAGCCTCAGCATCAGCATCAGCATGATCACCATCATCACCATCATCATCATCATCATCATCATCATCATCATCATCATCATCATCATCACCACCACCACCACCAGCACCATCATCACCAGCATAATCATCAGCAGCAGCAGCAGCATCCTCTTCCTCCTCATCCTCCTCCTGCTCCAAGGCGCCCTACCATTTAGTGCAAGACAATTGGGGGTTCCATGCCCGCCTCGGAGCGCTTAGCCGCGAGGTCGAGGATACAAAAAAACGGGGTACGTGGTTCTGCAGGTACTAACAAACTAAGCAGCGCCTGCCCCCTTCCGCAGTGTCTGACCCGCCAGCGGCTAGTGCGCCGCCCGCGGAGGATGGGTCACTCCTGATACGGCTGGCTCGCGACAAGGGCCACCGACTGGCAATCAGGGCGAACCACGCTTTCTGTAAGAACCGTGGCCGCTTCGCGCAGGAGCGGTGGCATGGACTTATTGACAAGGCGTGCGTGCCTGCCAACCCGCACACGGCCGGTGGTATAATGCAATGACGGTGGGGAAGACAGCACCCTACGACAGGGAAGCCTTTTGCTTAGTTTTGGTGTGGGCGTATCTCTACCTGCGACAGTCGTTGGTGGACAGGTGCTGCCAATACTTCTGGCTAGCTCTGCTCGTGCGTGCCAGTTTGCCGCATAGCCAAACTAGTCTGAAATACTCCTCCTCCTCCTCCTCCTCCTCCTGCTCCTCCTCCTCGTCCTCCTCCGCCTCCTCCTGCTCCTCCTCCTCCTCCTTCTCCGCCTCCCCCTTCTCATTCCCCCTCCCCCTCCCCCTTATCCTCCTCCTCCTTCTCCTCCTCCTCATCCATCCTCCTGCTCCCCTCCTCCTCTTCCTCCTTCATCCTCTG